TTGTTGCTGGGAGTTGGAACCCTATTAGTTAGGTTGCTTAATATTTACGCTAAGTACTCTTTAAAATACCAGAATAGGGAGGATGGTGTAGGTTTAAGTTTATTAGATTGAGCAGTATTGCTGAACTATGAAATATTATTTTTTTGCATACAGGTATAACATAATAGCTTTAGTAGTTGTAGTTGTTGTTTTAAACTGGAGTATGAACTTATATAAAATGCAGCAAGATATTTAAAAAAACATTTTTGCTGATTAAAAAACACTATATCGGATTCATATCGGTATCGGCAGATATCCAAGTTTATGATATCGGTATCGGACATAAAAAAAGTGTTATCGTGCCATCTCTAATATATATACATACATATATTTATTTATAAAAAAATAAGCGAATGTACAGGGAAAATTTATAACATAAGAAAAAAAGAATACTGTACAGTTATAAAATTAACATACTCAGACTCAAAGAAATATACAGTAGTGCAGTAGCTTGTCACTGAAGGAGCTCTCCACTTCTTTCTTTTTTTTGTTTGTTTGTTTGTGCTGTCCGGCACTGTACCAATCAGAATTATTGTCGGACGGCCAAGAAAAATTCCCAACAGGTTTATTTTCCCAAGTGGACAATTACGGGTTTTGCTATTTGGGTCCACTTGATTGTCGTTGGAGAAAGACATGAGTTTCCCGATTTGATGTTATTTTAATGTTTTGTAGGCCAAGCATGTTATTGGCAAAGATGTAACAGCCAAACAAAACATACATAATCTTGGTCCGATTTCAATTTTTTTTTTTAGTTGAAGTCGTATGAAAGATATTTCAAAATCTTCTTGTTTAGTGATCAGTTGATCTTCAATCAAATGACAAAGTAGGGTTCTTCGTTTTTTTTGTTTGTTTTTATGATTCTGTTCATACTGCAGTGAGGACATGATTAGATAATGCACCCTGGCACACAAATATAGTCCAGTCATAATATATTTTATTTTACTGAGTGGTTGAAGTAAATAATAGTATTTCACATCCTCCACCCCCCACAATAACATAACTTACATAGTCTGTACTTTATTCACAATTGATTTCAAGTGCTAGTAATGGTAGCATTTGTGTACAAGGTAACAAAAGAAGTTTTTATTGCCCCCTCCTGGCACATTTACATACATGCAGAGTCACATAAACATTTGCATAGTAAACACTGCTGTATCTGATCAATGTAGCATCAGCATATCCTGCAAATCCAGAAAGGGCAAATGATTGATGGCTTCTGGATGTTGGTGCTGCTGTCGATGAACGGTGTTAATGACAGATAGGAAAAGTAAAAAGTGGCAGCAATCAGAGATATTGAGTCCTAACTGCTATGTTTCTGACCACCTGATGTACAGTATATCTGGATAAAGAAGATGGTAAAACTTAGACACCTTTAAGGATGTCCAATAACCCCTTATGTCACTCTTATCACAGAACACAAAGCTTAAACTTTATATTTAAGGACTGGATCTGCGGGGTCAGTTTTGTTTGTTGTAAGCTATTTTTTTCTCTTGGGAGAGCAAATTATCTTACTAATCTTACTACTGAATTTGCGCCCTCACCCTTTAATTTAGTATTTTTGTATTTTATCCATTGCCATGATGTTCATTTGCTGGTTTGATTAAGTTCCTGAGTTCAGATTGAATGACTGGATGGACAGCAGCCCCTTATCTTGCAGCTGACAAACATGCAAAATAAATTGAAATACTAATAAAGAAAGAAACAAAAAGTGATGTTGATTAAAATTAAGTTAGTATGACAAAGTTCAAATACCAAGACATAATATTGTGTGTGTGTCTGTTATGTTCTTTATCATGTTTGGACAATCCACATACTAAAACATTCAGAACATGTTCATTTTATTTCAAATGAACTTATTGAGTTGGCAGCAACAAAATGTGTTTTATATGCTATAAAATGTAATTTAAACTTAACTGACACCCAGTGAACTCATAACACAATTATGAGCTTCAGATGTTTCATATTGTGATTTAATCAAATCTAAAATAATCAAAACATGTAGAAATTTCATCTGTGAATACAAAGATTAAATTGTGTTCTGCTTCTCCTTCATGAAAAATTTTATCCTGTGCAGAAACACAGTCATTTAAAATTTAAATTAAAATATTTGTTTTTATTTCTCATAACATTCTGAAAATGTCCTGTGGGCTTTCCTGTGTGAGCATTTATTTCAATAAAGTATGCTTCTGAATTCATGATTCTGATTCATGAGTACCCACATGAAAAAAAGAAAATGACACTGTGTTGACTCACTCACAGTTTGCGCTGTAGGCTTCATGCAAAGTTTGAATAGCCTCTTTTTTAGTGTGTGTTTTCCACTCACTGGGAATCTCACCATACTCCATGAATTTGAGACCATAGTACTTTTCCAGTTCTTTCTCAAATCGACACAAAAACCATGTCCAGTACTTCAGTTTAGACTCATCAGGAGTAATGCTCCAGTTGGCATAGTTTGGTCCAGCAGTTCTGTACTTTTTGAAAGGAATGGATTCTTTTGAATCATAGTAAGGGTAAAAACGTCGATCACTTGCAACCTTTGTTGTGCAGAATTCCACACTCATTATCTCAGTGTTTCTGTAGTGCCAACCTTTGACTGCTTGAGATCGATGAAAGGGGACGCTGTGATCTTCAGGACTGTGATCTTTAATTGTGTTGGTACAAACAGCTGCACAGAACGGGCAGGTTTCCCAGCAGCAGTTACACAGCTGATCAATGAGGATTTCATCAGGTCTCAGTCTGAATTCCTTCATTTTATCCAAGGAAAGCTGATTCATTTCCTCTTTGATGGAGTCAATACCTCTCTCAATCTCATCTTTAAGGAAGTCAAAATTATTTATGTCCCTAAAGTTTTGGCAAAAGATGGCATCAAGATTCAGTTTATCTTTTAGGACACAGGAAAACTCCTCTACCCACATGTCAATGTCTCCTCTCTGTTTTATGACTTTATTTGTTGCATCAAATAAAGCTTGACAGACAAACTTATACTTGTCCTCCACATTTTTCCTGAGTATATTCAGGGCTTTGTCTTTGGATTCTGTGGACATGTACGTGTTTACTTTCTCTTCAATAAAAGCCTCAGCTTGCTTCCTTGGTTTTCGGATGTAGTTGATAAAGGCATCAAAGTCCTCTTTCTCTGCAAGTGATGTCAACAAATGTTTCTCTAAGTTCAGTCTGTTCCCATTGAATGCTGGGAGAGTGCACCTCATCTCTCCAGCGAGATCAATAGCAGTCTTGTTACAGACTGCTTCAACAATAGAAACCCTCAGTTTCCCACAGATCATTTCTCCAAACACAACAGCAGATGAGCTTCCTTTGCAGAAGCTTCTGAAAATGTTGTAGTATTGTGATTTTTTACTCTCCAAGTAAGTGTGTGCATCATTGTTCAATGTGAATGTTTTATGGGCCTTTGAAAGCAAACTGCCCACACTGTCAAATACATACAGTGAGAGATCAACTGTGAACTCCTTTTGAAAAGTACATTTATTTTCTGATTCAAAATCCTTCACTGCTTTCAAAACATTGTTGGCTACTTCTTGTAAGTAAGTTGGACTGTAGCCTCTCGTTGCTACAGGATTGCTTTTGACTGCATCAAGAGACTTTTCTTCAGTGTTGTTTATGAGGGATCTGATCATTTCAGTGTCTGGAAATCCAAATCCAAAAATGTAATTTTTAGCTGTATCTACAAAAACTGTCAACATTTGATAAATCTTCTGTCCTGTTTTCTTTTGCTGCTTTTTTTGGAATATATAATCATTGTATTTACCAAGCCCTGATATTTTTTTGTATTTGCCACTTCTTTTGGATTCATTTATAAGGGCCCATTCAAAACCAAGCTCATTGAAGATTTTTGCCTGATCATCTTCCAGATTGATGTCTTTAATGGGTTTTGTATCTGTCGTTAATTCTTTAACCCAGTCACTCCAAACACAGTTAAACTGTTTTTGAAGTTCCACTTCATCTTTTGCTTTGTCCTTTAACTGATGAGCAAGCTTTTTACTCTTTTGCAACAGCTCGTTCTCAAACTCTGGCTTCTTCTCATCCAGCTTTTTACAAGCTTTCTTCTGCTGAATAACTTCATCCAGTTTTCTTTCCACTCCTCTCACCAGCTCCTCTTGGAACTCCTTTATTTTGTTTTCAAATCGGCCTCTCCACTGAACCAGTATTTCTTTTTCTGTGTCATCCTCAAAGTACTTTGTCATATCCTTTTCTACTTCTTTATATTTGTTGCTCATTTTATTAAATAGATCACTGTGCTCAACCTTATTAAGGTTTCCATTTTCAATTCTTGTGTGAAGCTGGTTTTCAATCGTCAACATGTTGCTCCTCAGGACCCAGGTCCAGTTCCCATATTGGACCTCAAGTTTTCTGTAAACTGCAATTTCTAATGTGTTTTTGAAGCTGAAAACAAATTGTTCATTCATCAGGGCATTCCACAAGTCATGAATTTTGATTTTGAAATGTGAGAGAGTGATCCCATTGGACTGTTTAGCCTTTGACAGGATGATTTTCTTCAGCTCTTGGATGCTCTCACTGTAGCCTGGATTTGGAGGAGCCATCGGTGGACTTCCCTCCCATAGCTGAGCAAAGTATTTCACATCTTTTTGCACATCAAAGTCAATGATGTCACTGAAGCACTCAGCATCACACAGCTCCTCTATACCAGCTAGCTGAGCCATCTGGTCCAGTTTTTCTTGCAGGCATCTTTTCCCTTCCATGGTTTTCTCAGCAGCTGCGATATCTGTCACATTCTGATGAACAAACACACAACTCGGAGAAAGTTTAACTTTCTTCATCCTCATGAAAGCCTGAACAACAATCTGCAGGACATCTTGAATGTCAGCTGGAGTCTCACCAAAGATGTTGATCAGTGTCAAGTTTCCCAGGCCAACAACAAATGTTGCCAATTCATTGTCATGACGAAGAGTAGCAGTTCCTGCCTTTAGTCCTTCAGTGTCCACCACTAGAAAATAGTCAAACTGGAAGTCTTTCTTGATTTCCTCTGACACTTTGACCAGCTGCATGAAGGCACCTTTGGTGCACCTGCCTGCACTCACTGCAAACTGCAATCCAAACATGGCATTCAGCATTGTTGATTTTCCACTGCTTTGTAGGCCCAAAACTGACAACACAAAAACTCTCTGGTCACCTAGTTTTTTAATCAGTTTCTTTATAAGACTGGAGATCCATGTTAGAGGCACATGACCTGCATCACCATCCATCAGCTCCACTGGGTGTCCTGAAATCATCAGATCTGCAGCCAACTTTGGATATTTAGACCAGGAAGTCAGTTTATTCTGTGTTTGTACTGCTCTATGGGCTTCATAGATCTGTCCCATTTCTCTAAAGATGTGCTCCAGGCCAAAGGTTGCAGACTGCAGTTTTTTGGAGATTTGTTCAAGCTCTGTTTGTTTGCTTGCTAACAGATCAGATTTGTCGTGTTTCTTCTTCAGAGCCAAGACTTCAGTCCACTTTTCATCACAGCTTTGGCGAATTGAAGATATTTCATCTGGGGATAGGGCATCTATTAAGATCTGAGTCCATTTCAGGAAGTACTCCTTCTCTTTTGATGGCAAAGACAAGAGGCTTTCTGTGAATGACTTCATCAGTTCACTACATGAAGCTTTGCATTGATTTTGTCTTATTTGCTTCAGCTGCTGCTGTTTCTCACTTTTTTCCTGCTCCATGTTTCCTTTAAGGTGATGCAATTCTTTGTTTATTTTACACCACACATGGCACAGATATTGACAGGGGAGAAATCTTTCTTTGATTTTTGAAATGTTCATCCCTTGAAACATATTAACTAATTTCATTGCAGCAGATTTCCCTTTTTGACAGGCTTCATCATCTTCATCCACTCTGACTCCAGGGACCTCGGCCACGGATTCAAGCTTGAAGGATGTGTGAGGTTCATCTAAAATCTTTCTGATGATTCCTCTCAGTTTTCCAGAAACTTCTGGCTTGTTTCTGTCTTTCAGACCCATTTTGTAATTGTTATTTTTCATCTCTACTGCATCAAGAACAATGTCGGCAATGAGAATAATTAAAGGCTTTGGTGACTTGAAAAGGGCTTCAATGATTGTGTTAGTTTTCTGGCCTTTTTCCAGAGTTGACACAAGAACAACAGTGACTGATGATTTTTCAATCAGTATCTCACGCTGTTTTTCAAATGACAGAGCATCACCATGAAGATTACAAAAGGCAATGCAGTCAGTGAAGGAGTCATTGGGTGTTCCAGCAGGACAGTACCAGGCAATCTCTGCCACACCATCCATCAGTAGGCGAGATTTGGTGCTACCTGGGCAGTCCCTGTGGAAGAAAGTTTTTGTATTTGTATTGATCAAATTACTAATGACCTCAGATTTGGACACTGGAAGTGAATCAAGGCGAAAGAATAACACCATGGGCGTCTCAGCTTTGTAGATTGGCATTGTCTTCATGGCGATGGCATGTGAATTATCCTTGATGTGAGTTTTCTTCCATGTTTTTGTTATCTGCCTAAATGTCCACAGAGGACATACAATGTCCATTGTTACTGGGTCAGGGACAAGCAAAGGTAAGGCGTACTGACACTGTGAAAGCTTTGTAACCAGGGTCTGCTTCAAGAAGTTGTCTGAGCAGTGAAATACTGCCATCTGAACATCCATTGGATGAAGATGGGACTGTGCTGGTGTCTCAGACACTGCATTGTTGCTATACAGCTCATATGTGTCATCACTGTCAGGCACTTGAACAGATTTTGAACAGCTCAACTTACAATAGTTCTCAGTATATCTGACTCTGTAGTCTAATATCATCAATTTCTGAAGAAAAGTATGAGCTAAATTTTCCTCAGGTGTGTCCTGACCCTGTTTCATAGGAGGTCCTATTTGACAAAAGTCTGCTGGTGACATCTTCTGCTGATGTTTTTCCTGAAGGTTGAGTCTTCTGAATAGTTTTCCTGTTTCTCTCTGAGTGTGTTGGCTGTTGCTCTCTTCAGTTCTATTCACATTCTGACATAAAAATAAATTACTTTCACTAATTGGAAAAAATGGTAAGAATGTATTCCCAAGACTGTAAATTTCTTACCTTATCCCTGCTTCCACTCACATCAACACTAAAGGCACCTGCAAAACAAAACCAAACAAACAACAAAACAAACAAACCTGATTTGACTACGAGAAGCGAAACAACAGCTGAAATATGGAAATGTTTACAGTTCAAGGCTAAACAATGCACCTACTCATTCAGTCTTGCGTTTAATTTTAATCTATATGTGAGTGAATCAGGGCTCTATTATGAAACTGTTACACAGAAACCACTCTGATGGAGACTGGAAAAAATATACTCATTGGGTCAAGAAAAACTGGGAAATTGGACTGATTCTCACTGGGTGTTGGACTCCACCAGAGCTGCTCTTTTTCACTGATTATGGTTATGCTTTGTTATTTTTTTTCG